TATTTATGAAAGCTTTGTTTCTGTTTTTTCTATTCTCTTTTCTTCTTCCTTTCCCCTTTCCCTCGATTGTTCCCCATCACATTTGACATTTTCTTTCTATTTCCCAGTATCTATTAAATATTTTGGTCCTTCTTTGCAGTTTTGGTTTCTCACACCACAGAAACATTGTGATATTTAAACATGTGAGTGTGATTTATTTCCTTATGGGTATTGTCTTAAGGTGCATTCATTTATCTAGAAACATCTCAGGCTTATTCTTTATGGCAGGGTTCTATAAAAAACCCATATCTTCTTTATCCATTCCTCAGTTGATGGGCATTTGGGCTGTTTCCAAGATTTAGCTATTATTAATTGCCTCATAAGCATGAATGTGCATATATGGCCCTGGTATGATGCTTTTAACTCTTTTGGGAAGATATGAAGAAGGATTATAGGTGTTTTTCACCACTACCAGCTATGGTTGTGTTGAATAAAACTTCTAATTTTAGTTTTCTTGGGGAATCTCTGCAGATTTCCACTGTACTTGAATCAGTCTACATTCCCAACAACAGTATAGAAGGACTACATTTTCCTCACCAGCTCTGCCAGCATTTGATACTGGTTGATTTCGTGATAATAGTCATTCTTTTGGAGGTTAAATGGAATTTCAGCGTTGTTTTAATTTTCATCTCTTGAATGACCAGTGATGTTGAACATCTTTTCATACATTTATTTGCTGCTTGTAATTTGTCTTTTGCGAAGTGTCTATTCATTTCAGATGCCCATTTTTGAACTGGACCTTTAAATTTGGAGGGGTGGTTTGATTCATAGAGTTCTTCATGTATTCTAGATGCTTTTAATATTTTATGTTTTTGATGCTTTCAAAACTTAGCCTTTGTACCATAATTTCTTGTCAGGTCCAATAATAAGTTCTTACGTACGGATATAGTCAGATAATTTTTTTTCATTCTTATAGTGATAGTATACAGTTAGAACTCAATAAATGTTAATTAAATGAAATATTGAATCTTATGTTTATCTTTTGTTTAATATTTTAAATGTATTTAGTTTTCCACAGTTTTAGAGTTAACTTACAAGATTATCTTAAATATGTTTGCTAACAGATTCATGGTATAAACAAGAAAACTTGCTGACTTTAAGAAGTCCATATGTTTTAAATATATTATAAAAATATAAAATTTTAAATAAACTTTATATGAACTATACATAAAACTTCAAACAACTTTTTTTGGATTCCTATCTTTCTAGTAAAAAAAAAACTATTTTAAATGCTTTATGAATGTTTTTAGCCCTTCCTTCATAAAAAGAGTGTTGCTTCTGTTCATGTTGGTTTATAGTGGCTAATTTATATTGAAATTAAAAACAGCATTGTTAAATTCAATATTCAAATTACAACAATTTATGAAGTGTATTACAATAACTCAAAAGATAATAATGGCTTCTACCAGACTAGCAGACATAGAAATTACAAAAATGATTGGATTGGGAAAAATTTGAAATAAAGACAAACGAATTCACTGGTAAAATTGATGTTAGATGTGAGAAAGCAGGAATAAATGATTCATATAAGGCATTAATGTGATTTGTGTCACTGGGAGAAAAGAAATTACACTCACTGACTTTTGGAAATTTTGAGAAGGTGCTAATTTTGAGGATTGTATACTTCATTGTGTGTGAACTGAGTAGACACTTCTGGGGCCCAGGAGAAAGAAACAGAATATGGAAGCAATCAGAATACAGAAATGTTAAGTGAAATCATTGTAAAAGAGGATCTAAATTTTAACAGAACAAAACCTGAAGATCATGAAATGAAATATGAGATGAATCAATACCTGGAAAATAAAGAGTTAAAAAACAATTAGCAAAGAACATTGAGAATGCAGAAAATAATTGCTAATAAAGATCACATTTCAGAAGAAAAGTTTCCAATTTCTGCTGATGACACAAGATAATGATAATGGAATAGGGAAGAAAAATTTTATAAAACAATATTGTGAAGCAGTAAGCTTATTTAAACATGAAAGAATGAGATTTATTTAAGAGTCCATTATATAGTACATACAGTTATAAAACTGTAATAAGTGTTTGCAAAGAGACACAGGTATGTTAATAGGCAGAGCAGTGAGAAATGTTGAGACAGTCTCTTCTGTTTACTTATGGACTTTCAATAAAATATTCTATTAGCTTCAAATGAATGGAAATGTGGTTCAGAGGGCTGAGTAGAAAGGAGAAATTGTGAAATAGGTGCTCATGTACAAGGGGACACTAGAAGACAAAGGAAATATTAGGATTCATTTGATGTCAACTGCAGTGAACTTTGAAGGAGACCATATAGGTTGTTTTTTCCACGCTGGTTTAGCTGTGGGTGTATAGCAGGGAAAAAACAAAAAGTTGGACTTAAATGTTATTAAGATTGGACCAGGTGAGTGTGGGAGAGAGAAAGAGGACACAGTGTTCAGATGTCCTACAAGGGAAGGATGTAAATGACAGATTATGGAATTTAAACCTAGAGGGAAAAGTTGTAAATACCTGACAAAGTTGAAAGACAGAAAAATAACAAGTGGAAAAGGGACCAAGGTGTAATGGAAGGGAGAAGGAGAGGAAGTATTTGAAATATTTTATGTCAAAGAAAAATGGAATGAGTTTTACATTTTGAAATAATCTGTCTCTGAACACTATGCACACATTTTCTTTTTCTACTTTCTGGTTTTGATTTTTATTTTCTCTGACTTAAACTACCAAGATATTTGTGCAAGTCAGATACTAATACTGAATTTATCTCAATTTATTCTCAAACTGCCTGAGCTTTAAGAACTATACTATGAACATTTTTATATGTCAAAATCTCCTACTCAAAACATTTCAGCATCTATCTCTTATATGCAGATCAAGTAAACTCTACTGAAATTCAATTCAAACTTTTAGATCATGTAACTGTAAGAAAAGAATTTTATTGTTTAAGCCACGAAGTCTGTGGCATTTTGTTATGGCTATTCTAAAAAACTGATATGCCCTATACCGTTATCTTTTTAAAACTATCTTTATGTATTCTGTTTCATTTCAGATGTTGCAGCTCTTGAATTAATCCTCAAATTTCCTTATCTTTTACCTATTATTTCTCATTTGATTATATTTTTGCTGTGTGTACACCTGTCATTGTGAAATTTTTGTACTTTTGTACTCCAGTGTTTCTACTGAAAATTGTATTTATTCTGCCATTGTCCATATATTTTACAATATATATCTTTGTTCTGAAATTTTTTCTCTTTTGCAGAGGGTGAGTGCTGGAAAATGATTCTAAGACCACATTCATGCTAAGCACACTCTATACTACTGAGCACCCCTGACACTTTACTTTCTGTTTGTTTTTTCCTATTGATGTTTCACTAATATTAGCTCTTCATTTGTGTTATTATATATATTGACTATGAGTTTTAAAAGGGTTTTCCTGCTTTGTCGTGAATTGCCTCTCCTTTTGGTTACCTTCTTTTTTGCACCATTCTGTATTTCTCTTATTGGAAGCTTTTCTCAAATGTCAAATGACCTTTATTTGTGTTCACAGTACTAAAGAGTAATGTAGTACAAAACAAACGGAAGATCTCTATGCCAACCAGTGGACTTCACCTTACAGAGTGGTATGCAGTGGTAAAGCCATTTTGGAAAGATCAACAAATGATGGCTTTTGGCCGTATCTCCACAGTTGTTAAGAAATCTGAGGGAAAATTTGTTCAGTTTTTTTTTTTTTTTTGAAATGGGTATTCCTGATGTTGGCACGTTTAGAACCAAGAAATGCAAACAGCTTGATGTTTTCATGACTCAGTTTGTAAATTTCTGTTAACTCTTTTTTATTGTATCTTTCATGTGTCTGCTGTCAACAGACTAATTACTTAATTTAATGTCTGTTGAGAATGCAAGTTCCAGCCCCCATAAATTTTGTATCTTTTCATAAAAGTTCCCTCTCTTCTCTAGGTTTTAATCTCTTGGTAAACCATCTCAACTTTCTGTCCCTAAGCCCGCCTGGCTTCCTAAAGCTGGATTTTCTTTCTTCTCGTAGAAACCTACTTCTTCTTTCTCAAACCCTTCCACGTCCCAACACTTGCAGTCCTCCTTTCTCCATTTTGCTTATCTTTTTCTAGTGTCTTCATAGATGTAATTCACTAATTCTCTCTTTATTGTTGTTTCTTGAAACAGCAAATACAGTTCTCTGTGTTTAAGGAGAAATGGTCATGAATCTTTAGAGAAAGAACTTCAAGACTATGTTGAGTGAAAATTAGGTTATTTGACTTATTATTATGTCAAAATAATTATATTTTTATTCTATTTCAATTTCCTTTGAATTAAATACATGAAAAGTTTCAAACTGACACTTTCCCTTGTATTGTAGGATGTCTCTTCAGCATTTTAATTAGCATACGATGTTAAGGTATTGCACTTGATAAAAGATAATTATTTGGGGGGATACTCAGGATCAAACTCATGACCTCACGCTTGCCAACCAGATGCTTGGGTTTCTGAGCCAAATCCCCAGCCTGATAAAAGATACATTTTAATGTTAAAAGCTTATATCAAAGCTAAACATTCAGGAAACTAAATCATACAAATATATTTATTACATATTAATTAATTTTGTACAATTGATCAATAAAAGTAATTTTAAAGTCCTTAAACTCATACATCTTAAATCAAAGAATGTAGTTTTGCTATTTAATAGATGGCTAAACTTAGTGATTTTTGTGTTATGCAGTCACTTCATCTAGGAAGTCAAAAGAAATAGATTGAATTGTATATTGGTTTTCTGGAATTTATGAGTATAGTGAAAATGATATATAACCTTGCAATACTAATACAACATTTGATTGATACAACATTTTAGCTTTAAACAGAATAGAAATACAATATGTAAGATAATTAAAAGAAAACAAAAAAATATAGCACTCTACATGCAGAATACAGTATCTCATGTAAAGAACAGATTGAACAAATTGACACAGAAAAACAACTTGATGGCAAATTAAAGCCATTTTAATTCATAAAAAATATTATCCAACTATTTTTTCATAGGAAAGAAATTTACTTTTAACACAATCTTAGTGGACAGAATTCTTAGTGCTATAGGATTTGTCTAAAATGTAGAAACAAATTCACATACAGGTAGCATTAGTGTCACATTGAAGAGTATGGCATGTTCAGTGATATTAGTAACTGTTCAGTGTGTTGCCTCTCACTAGCAAAATGTTGTGAAAGCTGACTGAATCCTAGTACCCGACAAGCATTACTATCAATCCTTGTCCTTGCACCTGTCATCTGACATACATTTTCTACCTACATCTTCAGTGTATTCTATTTAGCAGACTATAAGAAATGTATTTTAGTGGAAAATACATTCAATCTCCTAAAAATCAAAACATTATTTCTTCTAAATTTTATGATCAACTGCTGAATTTTTGTTTATCACTACAATAAAATTAGAACAATCACACATTTCCCTCCCAAATGATGGGGAAAGCACTGTTTTTTTTTTTTAATCTGAAAATCTGATATTGAGCCTTGATGATACCCATATGTGTTTCTCCACCTCTAGCATTCTCAGATCCTACCTTTCTAGAAAAAGCTTTCTGGGGACTCCAATTAGATAGTGTCTGATACACAGTTTTTCAACTACCAAATACTAATGTTTGTTCTTATTATTGAAATAGAAAAGCATTTTGATGAATAACTATTTTTAATAAAAATTAGACTAAATTAAAAGATTTGTAACAATCAGAAATACAAATCTATTGTTATAAAAATCAAAACAATATCTTGAGTGGCCATGTGACTATGGTTTACTGGAAAGAGGTATCTTTTGCGATGATCTTAATGTTTTGTACCTTGAAATGCATAATTTCAGCTGTAGGAATGTGTTCATGTGTCAGAACTCAGTGATGATGTTTAAGATCTGTTTCTTCCATTGTATGTAATTTTAACTTTTAAGAATGCAAGAGCAAAATTAAACAGTGCCCCCTGGCTCATGAAAGTTTTAACTCTGAATATACAAAGTTAGGTTCTAACCCTGAATATACAAAAAGAGGTTTGGATAATGTGCTGATCTACTCAGTAATACCATAAGGCTTAGGAGGAAAATGTACAAAACACTCAAACTAAGATCCTGAATAGCCCTAGATATCTCTGGGCTTTGAATTCATATTTGAAGCCTTTATTATCAAGTTCAACCATCTGTCAGTTAAACCACAGATCTACAGTTAACTGTTTCACAACAAAGATGCCATACTGAGAGGTTTAGAGGTAAAATGTAGTTGTAAGTGCAGTTTTGAAATATATCCAGGAATAAGATGGATTAATGGATAAAGAATGGATAGAATAATAAAGAACTGGTGAAGAAGGTACAAAAGGCTCACTGCTAAATTTAGGTGAACTATGTTAGGATCCGCAGTAAAACTCAACTTTTTTATGTTTTAAAAATATCACATTAAATATTAGAAGGAAAATGACCAAATCATGAATCAAAGATGGTACACTTAATCTTCAGAATTCTTTACAGGATAATAAATTGATCCAGATGTCTCCAATTATGTAGCAGGAAAAAATGTATCTACTTTTGCTGTCTTCATCCATATGTATAAAAGCAATCCAAAACAGGGAAATGATGAAAGAGAAGAAGAAAATAAATTTGAAAGCAAATGACATCAAGGTATTTGAAACTGAGTTAAACAAGTTATTAAGCCAATTAATGAAACAATGTCATTAAATTGAAAAATACCTAAAGAAAGTTTATGGAACTGAAAATAATAGAAATAATGTGTACATATATATTTTAAATGGGTATGGAAAGTTTCTTCAAGATGCACAATGACAAAAAAGATATCAAATAAATAAGATAGGAACAATGAAAGAGGAATTAATTGGAGAAAAAGAGTAACTTCAAAAGTAAACTACATGGACTTTTTCACAACATCTTACCAATGAACGATTTGGCTACAAAAAGATATCACTTCAGAAGACAAAAAACATGGCTTGTTGCCTGGCTACCTGGATGGAGAAAATATGTAGTTTTGATTCTCAGTCTTGAAAATATTTGCCAGAGCATGAATGAAATTAAAATGTTAGCAATAGTGTATTCTGAAGTAAACACATGCAGTTGAAACAAAATCTTTGAAAAAATTTTGCAATAAAATACGAGTCTGTTAAATCCATAACTGGTTGAGCATGTTACCTTAAAAGTGTGACAGATGTATTATTATAGTTAACATATGATTTTAAAAATCTATTTAATGAAACTTGGTTCTAACTCTGAATATATAAACAGAGCTATGGATAATGTGTTTATACACACAACTGTAAAGGTTAGGAGAAAATGTACAAAAAATCTCAAACTGAGGCCTTAAATAAGCCCAGGCCTCATTGAGCTTTGAATTCATTATTTTGAAGCCTTCCTTCTCGTGACTTGATCACCTGTAATTAAAACCACATATATAATACTTCTACAGTCAACTGACTCATAACAAATATGCCAAAAAAATTAGAGAAAAGACAGCCTCTTACCAAATAGTGATAAAAAATCTGAATATATACATGCAGAAAACTAAAGTTTTCTGAAAGAAAGAATTCTCTTATCCTGTATAAAAATCAATTCAAAATGGATCAGTTATCTAACAATATTATCTGAGAGTTGGAAATTTTTAGAAGGAAAATAGGGAAGACATTTCAAGGTATTGATACAAGGAATAATTTTCTGGATAGGACTCCCAAAGCACAGAAAACAAAAGCAAAAATTATCCAGTGGAATTAAATAAAATTTTAAAACTTATGTATAGTAAAAGAAACAAGCAAAATGAAGATACCATCTGCAGAATGGGTGAAAATATTTGCCAACAATTCATCTGACAGAGTTAATATCAGAAACATATAAGGAAGTAAAAAAAAATCTTATCAAAAAACTAAATAAACCAGTTACAGTATAAATGATCTGAATAGAGACATCTGGAAAACACAAATATACATGGCCAACAAATAAAAAAATGCTCAACATCATTTATCATCAGGGAAATGCAAATCAAACTATAAGGGGACATAATTGAATCTCAGTTACAATGGCTATTGTCAGTGAACTGGAGTAAATACTGGTGAGAATACAGAGAAAAAGTAAATAAAAAATTACTGTCAGTATGGAGAACAGTATGAGTGTTCACTGTAAAACTAAACACAGGTCTATCAAATGATTCAGTAGTTCTACCTCTGGGCATATATCCAAGGGAAATAAAATCAGCTCCCTAAAGGATACCCATCTGTCCATATTCTTGTGGCACTAGTCACGGTAATTAAAACATAGAGTTTGCCAAGGTGACCATCAACAGATAAATGGCCAAAGTAAACATAGTGTATATTTTTCACATGTATTAATGATATACACACACATATATGTTTACCAGTACAAATATAATTGCATATATATACTCTACCAAAATTATGTACACATTTGCACACTTTAGTATGATGGTTTTTCAACAGATAGTGTTACCCTCATATGGGGGATTTTAGAGAATATCATGTATCACAGAAATATATTGGAGTATTATCGAACCACAAAGCTAAGTGAAATCCTGTCATTTGTAGCAAAATGATAAAACTGAGGTCTGGCTTAGTTCAATAAGCCAGACCCAGGAAGATGAGGACCTAATATACTCTCTTATATGTAGAAGCTAAATTTAGAAAGTTGACCTGAAAACAGAAGAATGATTATCAGGGACTGGGGATGCTGTGTATGAAGTCAGTGTGGAGAAAGAGGTTTGGTTTGATGAGGGCAAATTATTTGCATGGATTCCACATGTACAATGAATACACATCAGTAAAAATACTTACAAATAAAAATCAATATCCTTGTTTGAAAGATTACACTCAACAATGAAATTTTTCTTTGAAAAATTCAAATTATGTAACAGAAAATGAGGTAACTCCCAGAGCAGAAGCCAAAGAGCATGAAAGCTTTTCTGAAGTAAAGAGTGGCATTGTCACTCACTCTGTGTCAAACCCGAAGTCTGGTGCAAACTTGCCGGAGAGCAGAGCCTAGTTTCAGGGCTCTGTCATTTTTACTTCCATGAGGCTTCATTCTGTGCAGTCCTGTCTTCCTTTTCTGTTAGACTCTCTTCTGTACTTTGAGAACCTCTCTTCTGCATTTCTTCACAAAGCTGTTCATCTGGGTTTCTTTTACTCTAAACCAAAGAACCTCAACAGAACAGACAATAACTTCTAAATCATTATATATTAAGCTATCTGATGTGTAACATTACATTAAATATTTCCTGAATAAAGAATTAGATGAATTACAAAATAGAACACCTGCAGCTGACTAAAATACAAGTAAGAAAATAATACACCATTTCACATGTACTTTTAAAAATATATAGGATGATTAATTTTGATTCTATTTTTCTGTTTTAAATAACTTAATGTATCTTTTAAAATTTGTTAGCTATACTTTTATAGAACAAATTCAAAATCTTTAGTCTCTACATCTGAATATACGCTTCTATTGTATGTCAGAGTTACATTTGAATTTATCAAAAAATAATCAAGAAAATATTTTAATCACATAAGTCTCGTTATAAGAAGAAAAGCTAAGACTGACTTTCTCCATTCTTCTTGCAGGAGGCGGGGGTGCATTTTTGAATATAGCTTATTCATCTTGGTAAGTATTTTATACATTGAAAAATACAAAATTGTTGTTATAAGTACTATATTTTCAATCTATTTTCATTAGAGATTCAATATAATTTTGTACAAAGAATGATAATTTTTCTCTGTATAAAAATCAATGTATTATTTGTGAAAACCTTAAGAAAATTTCTGATTTTAAACAAAGTGAGTCAACCATTATTCATTTTTTATGTGCAAAACACTGATAGATAGCATGGCTGATTATAAAAATGAAAATTGAGTGAACTACTACTACTAAAAAGAGAATAAAATCTACTGTTATTGAAATGAATCCTTATTAGAGAAAGAAAGGAGAAGGAAATGATTTGAGTAGAGCCTCAGAGAATGAACAGGATTACAAATAGCCAAAGGTGTTAGAATTAAGTCATGAAGTGCTTTGGAAATACTTTTATCCATGGTACATTTCAAGAAATAGAATTATTGCTTGATCAGTGGCAGCCTTTTCAGGCACACAAATACTCAATGATTGATAAAACTGAGTGAAAACAAACAGAATAAACACAGTTTTTATTTAGCTTACTTCTGCATATAAGTGAAATGGAAAAAAAAAAAAAAACCAGCAAAGCTATTTAGTCTGACTAGAGTTTTATCCATACCCTTAGGTTGCTGTCATCCTAATATAAGAGCAAGGATATATTTCACAGCTGATTAAGTAATGGCAAACACAGTGAGAGAACAGTGTCTCAGAAGTGAGGAATGATAACAGTAGATGCAGTCTTTGGGGATAAATGCTATCTAGCAGACTCCAGCCCAGAAGATGCATGCTAGACAACTCTGGGTCATGTTGGACCTTGATGTGAAGCTGTCTTGCTTTTATTTGGCTACCATTTCATGTTTCTTCTGTCTGTCCTTCTGATTATCAGGGATGTGGCCAAGATTTCCAAGTGTCTGTATATGAGAGGTATGGCAAAGGATAAAAAAGAAACAGAGACATGACGGGGAGCTGGAAGGTCAATGTCTCAGGCCGGACAAAGATCCAGATACTCCAAACCAGCCACTGTGTATTGTGTGTGTACAATGCAATTGGTGCACACAGTGATAGGAGGGGTTGGTGAAACATTGAGAGGTCTATGACACTACAGGCAAAAAATAATCCTGGAATGACTTAAGAGGGTAAAATGATCATACACTAAGGAGGATATTGCTTTGGAGTGTTCTTTTTCATCTTAGTGGTCTTAGCTTAGTCTTAGTGGTGGAAGAGAATGGCCCATCCCAAGTGTTAATGGGAAGTCTCCAAAGGGTGATACCAAAATCTTAAGCCTCCATTTATTCTTTCAGGAAGTTTTCAAAATTAACCATTGTGAATTTGTGGTCCCTAATCAGTGACAGGGAGGCATCAAATGATTTTAAAGGATTCCTGGACATCTATTCCTATGCAGAGAATGATATCCATACATTTATAACCTTCATAACTAACTTTCAGCCTTCCTGTAATATATCAGCAAAAAGTTTTCTCTTGATAATTAGAAGTTTTTACACAATTATTTTATTTTCTATTAACATGTATTAATTGTACATATTAATGGGATACAATGTGACACCTTCACACGTACAAAGCAGAAGCTCTTATCTGATCCAGCCTTCCTTACTGAGCTTGTGCTTGCATCCTTCTCGGCTTCTATTAATAACTATTTTACCTTCAGGCTCACTGTTAGCTGCTGCACAGGACAGAGACGATGAGGTACTTGTCTTTATGTGTCTGGCTTATTTCACTTAAAATAATGCCTTCCGCTTCCACCAGTTTGCTTGGACAGAAGTATACTTAATTTGATAATAATAAAGAAATTGTTAAGTAACCAAATTAGATTTATAAGTGGGACATGGAGATGACCAAACAAATCAAAGCTCTTTTTTTTTTTTTTTTTTTTTTTGAGTCAAGGTCTGACTATGTAGTGCAGGTTGGCATTGAACTCACTCTTATAATCCAGGTTGACCTCCAAATCTGTTGATTCACCTGCCTCAGCCTCTCCTCAGTGCTGGGATTATAGACATGTGCCACCACTCACTCCTCGCTTCAGAACTCTTTTATACAAATTATCAAAATTTTAAGGTATTGCCCTAAGCTGAAGGACAATATTGTAGGATTACTACTGATGTGACAGGATGCAGACAGAAGTCCCAAAAAACGAAAGGCAGGCCCCTTCTGCCTCTGTGCTTCAGATTCAGTTTATGAGAAGGGATTCTCTCCAAATTGATACTAGGCAATTGCATATGTGATACATGTGTTCAAGAAGGCAAAATCAATTTTTTGTACTGTGAAAGAGAGACATTTGCCTTCTCTCTTATTTATGTTAGTGTTATAATAAAACATGAGACCTGTTAATCAGTTATTTTTGACCTCTGGGTCTGTTACAGGTTTCCTGCAAAGTTACTCAGACTGGTTATCTTTCTGTTTTGGGGGTGAAATGAAGGGGTAGGTCTAGCTTTGTTTTAATTTTAGGTTTTGTTTTTATTTCATTGTGTCTAATCATGCATGAATGCATGGAATCATAAAACTTTCTTAAGGCTTAAGTGTACATTTGTAAAGAAATATAAAAGTCATCCTAAAGTTATAATTTCCGTATTCATTAGAAATATATCCCCCTGTCATATGTCTAGGTTAAATATACATGCAAAGAAAGACAGAAATTGTAAGATAATAAGATATTTAAAATGCTTATGCAGTTAAGAATTTTTAATTAATGATAAATGGTAAATGAAAAATTTAAACCAGTAAATATTTTGTCAATATAATTATTATGATATTACACATAAATTATCTGGTAAAATAAAAGAGTCATATTAAATAAGTAACATTTATATTCTTTTTAATTAATTAAATTAACTCAAATAAGAATTTAACAATTCTCAGTTCTGTACTTAACAATTTTTGAATTGTGTTTTACTCAAATGATCTTAACTATAGATTTTTATTTGTTAATAGAAACTGATATTGAAATCATAATTTTTATTTTAGTAATTATCTAGTAATTAGATCATTTCAGTAGTCAACTGAATAAAATAAATATGTCTTACAATCCCAGTCAACATTTGTCTCTCTACTGTGATCTAGTTCTTCTTTCTGGAGCTTTTTAACTTGCTAATCAATTACTCTATCATCTTTATCTTCTAAGTATGTTCATTTTAAAAGTGGTCATCAAGCACTCTGTATTTTAATTAATTGCTCTTAATAGACAAGTTATCATTCTTTATCTTTGAATAAACTTAATTGCTTTGAAGGCCTAATGGAGAAACAGTTATGCTTTCAGAAGGCTATTTCTTAAACTTTTTCACATTTCCTGTGTCCTGTTTCCTATTCCTGTCTGTTTCACAAAAGCTTTGTTCTGTGATTTTCCTTTTTCCTAATAACTTGTGACATTTATTCCTCACAGCTTGACAAAATACCAAGCAGATTAACATCATTATGCTAGAAATGTTAGTAAAAAATTCTTCTTTCTCACACACTATTGCAAGTTGGCTTTAGACAGCACGTTTTGTGGTCTTCTACCTTGGTTTACTTCTTTTGAAATCCTTGTAAGAGTTGAGCCTTCAAATACAGAAAAAAAATCAATTTTTCTTTGTAATATATTGACTTCTGCTGGGAACATTTAAAGCATATGAGTATTATATTTTAAAATAAAAATTAAATGCTGAAAATAAATTGAACATGTATTAGCTCTAATACTGAGTTACTAATATGTGCTCAAATTTGAACACCAGGGGACAATCAAATAACTTTGCAGATTAAGAAGATTTGTGAAATGCATATGGAGAATTTCTTAAAACTTTAAAACTTCCCTTTTAATTTTGGCATTATATGTGTACCTGGAAGTTATAAGTTCATCCAAATAATCTGCAATTAAATTTGTGCTTAGATTACCACAGTAATGGGAGTAAAATGCTGAAACATTCTCCTGCCATATTTATGACATATATATTTATAAACTTCATTTAAAAATACATCATCATTTTTGGTGCATAATAGATTAAGTCTGAGATGAGGAACTTTATCCAAGATCACCAAAGAGTTATAGGCTGAAGCTCTGATGAAAACAGTGTAAAAATTTATGCATGCACGTGGGCATTTGTATACACATATTGTAAGGTTTGTACCATTGAGTTTTCTATAACTCTTGTATTTCAATCAATGTGATAAACTTCATTTAAAGCTTATGGTCACACTGAATTGTGGGACACTGTCTCAGAAAATATCATTTTAATCAATGATACTGTTTTTGTTTATTGTTTCTTTTATTTATTTCATTCAAGACTCTACTTATTCATTCAAAGCCAGAAGCACAAAGTTCTAGCTTTAGTTGGTCTTTTGTTGATATTAAGGGAAAGAAATTAAAAATATTCATCCCCCAAGGATATTCTATATAAAACAAAGGTAAGAAGATTCTGCTTACAAAAGTAAAACAAAACAAATGTGAAAAGAACATGCCAAAATATCAAGTTTTAAAGACCAAAAAAAGTGGAAATAAATTACCTATCACAATAAATATTTAGTGGTTAAATTTATTTATATTTATTTACTTTTTTTTTTGAACTACAGTGTTCGAGAGAGAATACTTTCCACTGTGATTTTTCCATAATTTTGATTTCCCCTGGTCCAACGAGAATCTAAAACTTTTTCTGTTTCCATATCTCAGGTTCCTCTGGAATCTGGTGAATTTCTAAATGACTGAGCACCCTCCTTCTCACCGGCAGAGTGTTTAGGTCAAAATCCCTCCTATGCCTTGTCCGACACTACACATGCATTTGGGGAAGCGCTAGAGTAAGTTTAGAATTGTGTGGTCAGTATCCACCACCATTGTCAGGAGTTGTTTTCAGAGTATTAACTGCTCTTGACATTACTGCAACACATCAGAATTATGTTTTGAACATGTTGATTAAATTTTTAGACAAAAAAAACTAGATAAAAATAACTGATTTTTGGTTTGATTGAGACCGAGTCTCACCATGCAGTTCAGGCTGGCCTTGAACTCACTTTGTAGCCCAGGCTGGCCTTGCTTGTAGTGATCATCCTGCCTCAGTCTTCCAAGGGCTGGGATTACAGGTGTGCTTCACCACAGCTGGTCTATGTTAATAACTTTTGTTTAGAACCATGCCTCACTATTCATAATAGGTCTTTGAATATTTGAGGTAATTCCTAAAACTTCGAGTTTCCCTGAGATAACTTTTGCAGATAAGTGTTTTACACTTAAAATGATACTTCTATTATTCCGCTGCTCTCCTTTTCCTAACATCCTCCCTAAAAAAGCAGAGTAGCCTCCAATTTTTTGAAGCAACTGATAGTTGAACCTCAACTTGACCTGACTAGGGCTTATTTCAGGCCTGGCATTTGATAGAGATATTTTCTTGTAAACTCATATAAATTAAATTATTTCCTTTCCCTTCTGTGCAAAATATTAATTGATATTATTTGCCTCAGGATTTTGCGGTAACTAGAAAAACATGCGCAAACATATAGTATTCATGTTAATATCAGCTAGGATCTTTAGCATATTTATTTTCTAAATTAGGGTACAACATATATTAAGTGCTGTGGAAGTTCTACATGTTACTGTGAGAAATTACATTTAAAAGGACTGAAAATCTGCTCATGAACAAGGAATATTCCTCATTCTAAAGAGTTTCTTAATCCTTTGTACATTGAAATCTCATAAAGAATAAAATATACTGATACTTCTGTCGTACCTCTAAAGTTTTAGTCTAATTAGTTTGGGACATGTCTTCATATCTGACTGAACATATAGTGCATGATAGTAATATGAAATTACTATCATGAAAACAGAAACAAAGAAAAATATTTTGAATGAATCATAATTCTTTAAGAGTTACAGCAGATAATAGAAAGCAGTGAAAGTGATTGGCTCACAAAACACTTTTAGTGGCCTATCTTAGATTTTTACTTATTTTAATTTTAGCATGAGTGGAACAGATTACTCCTTGCCTCTTGAAATTCTTATCAGCTTGTTCAGAAATATAATTTTAGTTATTGTCACAGTTTCTTTGGCTGTCTGATCATTACAAGAAGATCTCATACTTCATTTTGTTCTTTTTGTGCCTCTACAGTCTGTTCACCCCATTGTGATAATGAAGATTCAATTATGGACCTCACTGGTGTAAATCTTCCTTGGCTCCTGCAATCTTTCAAAGCAACTTTCAGGATATTTGGCTAAGCAGCTCAAGCTTCTCATGACTCTTCTTTTCTATTGAAACTCCCTGTCAATTCACTTTTCAGAGAGGGATGATGTGACTTACCACTGCCAGGATTTGGGGCATCGTCTCTCATGCTTCAAATGGGTTCCCTCAATTTCCCTCAGATGAGACACTCCTGACTGCTCTTCAGAATTCAGGGCAAATGTTAAGCCTCCTGCAAAGCTTCCTGTGGGTATATTGCTGTTTTCTTTCTCTCCATCTAGGTAACAAAATCGATTTCTGTGAGGTTTTCCTGAAATAGTTAACACGCTTGTTTATCTCTGCTACCTACTGATTTTCCCAAAGGTACTTTGGAATCACCCTCGGATCTTCTGAAGGAAAAAATCTTGGTGTGACTGTATCATCCTTTTGGATGATTCTTACTCATCGTTAAATCTGAAGAAACCTCAAAAGTGATAGCAACTGTTTTGTGATCACTAGATCAGGAGCATCAGTCATTCGGGAACTCATGGAAAATGCAAATGATTTGGGTCCCAAACTGGGTATCTCAAGTCAAAAATTTGGGGCTGGAGCCTACCTGTAAGTGTATAGCAAGCTCCTTGTGTGATGCTAATGAAAATTTGAGAACTTCTATTCTATTCTGCATGCTCATGTAATACAAATCCTCAACAAAGTATCTTGTTCTAAAACTCCTTTAAAAAACAGAGTGAGGGTTAGTGCTAATATATGGGGAAACAAGCATGCCAAAAATTTCCAAAGAAATCCTAAAATAAGGTTGACAAAAGGTAAATTTGTCAAAGGAATATTTGTTATAGAAGCCAAAAAAATCTTTTAAGTATGACTTGAAAATGCAGCCTTTTATAGGAAGTTGTTATAGTTTATCAGACAGGCAGGTTGGACTTTTGAGTTGCAGGTTTTAGCAATGGATCCATTGAAGATGTGAATGGAGAATCAAGTGGAGACAAAGGAGAGGGCTGAGGCCTGAGACCAGAAATACTCCATCTAGAAGAGATCTATGAAGAGAAATTACACAACAAATGGAATGGAGAAAGAGGGTCCCTGAGATAGAAGGAAATAAGGAGACTTTAGGAGCCTGAAGGCAAGTAAAAGTAAAAGTGACCTGGTTAAACATTGGTTGTGAGAAAAGCAAGACAAGGACAGAAAATTGAGCTCTAAATTTGGCAAAGAAGAGGCATAACTTGTTGAGACAATTTTAGGGGTTAAAACAAAAGAAATACTGATGAAAATGAAGATAATAAACAACACAATGAGAAGAAGTAAAGACAGCAAGAACAAACATCTTTACCCAAGAATATTTTATGAAAGTAGAAAAAGAGATGACTGAGGATGAAAATGATAATGAAGAATTTTGTTATTTTTTTGGAGAACACACATCCAACTTCCATGTATATACATATATTTACTATTAACCATAAACTTATTTATCTAGAAATTAATTATTCCAGAATATTTAATGCTATTGCCATATATATATATATATATATATATATATATATATATAGCATGTATGTGAGCTGCCTGTTGATGTTTTATTTATTGACAAAAGAAATTTTGATACTCAACTGGAAAATTTCTAATGACAGTGTTCTAGACAATGCAAGTTAAGGAGTCTATTGGTTAAATTTCTGAGATTACTACAGTTTTCTTCACAAAATGGAATAAACTCAAATGTAGTTATTTTTCTGGTTACATTAAATATCTGAGTGGTACTCAAAATACAATTATGAGTATAAACAAGCACAAAAACCCTCAAAATGGTGAAGTCAAAAGAGATGAACCTACCTTTGACACCCATCACAGTGCTGATGAAGCTCTTGCACTACATGAACATGCCTTTTCACGTGCTTCCTCGTGATAAGGATGCATTACATAGTTCATAGTTAATACAACTATTTCTGCCCAAACTCAACATCAGTCCATTTTATCTTACCTTCCTCCGTAGCCATGTCAGAGTTTTTCACAGCTCAGGCTTTTCTATGATTGCTTGATTGGTGGTTATCTACTTACAGATACAGTCTTTGTCTGTCAGTAGGTCATTGCCTACCTTGAAGACTTTTTTCATCCTTATTGAAGCTTGATTTCTCTGCCTTCCCCCAAATCCAAGCAGGTAACTCCTCATAGTGCCACAATGATCGTCCACATTGATAATGGAACTCTTGGTACCTTTTTTTCTAGAAATGTTTCAAGGAACATAATTTTATGGTGGGAAAAATTCACATTGCCCGGGGAAATGGCTTTTGGAAAAACCGTGCTCAAGTGTATAGGACGGCTCCAGTCCCCAAACACACTGATGCAAATGTCAGTGTTACTCAGACAAACAATACTCTCTCATATATTTACTCCTGTAATTTCAAATAATAGCCAACACAGAGAACAGAGAGCATACAAAATATGATGTTAAAAAGTAAGTTTAACAGGATATGAGGAAAAATTTCAGAAATAGCACATTCACATTGTGAAATGTTGAATGAAACCCATATGTATAAAAAACTGAACCACAAAATTTTTATTTGCAGTAACAATTATGCTGTTTGTGAATCTTCAGTTGATCATTCTAAAAAAGTTCAATTCTAATATGAATTTTCTGAAGCTTTGAGACTATTTTTTAAATGATATGAGTGCACATTTTTCTATAGATTTTCTTTTAGCCAATTAATGTACTGATCTATCAGTCTGTAACCAATTTTAAATTTCAGAAGGGCAAATGCTCCATGGAATCCATCCTCGACATGGTTATGGGTCACTTGCACTCCAGCATTCCGAAGTCTGGTGACATACATGATTCCATCATCTCTCAAAACATCATATTGACAAGTGAGGACATAGGTCAGGGGTAAGCCACGCAACTTGCTGTCATCTGCCAACAGAGGAACTGCCCTCATATCTAGGAACACAGGATATTTTTGAGCAAACTCAGAACTACCATAAGTTGGGTTTTTATAAACATGTCCTTTTCTAAATCTCTCAGGGAGCAGGGAACTCCAGTTAACAAACTTGAAGAGATGACTCCATTCTTCAGGTACATGCTGATTGGAGAGCATGACTTTCTCAAGTGATCTGTCTGATGTAATATATTCACTCATAAGCCGGATCAGCAGTGATTTTGACAGACCTGGCATATGTGAATATTCTCTGTATGATGGAGAATCTAAATCAAAAGCCTGAAGTGCAGGATAAATTAAAGACTGCATCTTGAGTTTGATCTTCACATCTGGGTCATATAATTGCTATGAAAGAATTGAGATGATTTACATAAATTATTTGCATTTATAAATGATAAAATAAATGTAATGACCTGTTTTATGCATAAATTTATAATCTAAAACATTTTTATATAATCTAACATACCGTCTCAACAAAATATTCAAAATGGATTCATAGAACTAGATATTTCTTTTTTTATTTCAAAGAGAACATAAAAATCCAAAGCAAACCAACAATTAAAAAATAACAAAAACAAAATGACAACAATAACAACAAAAAACAATGGCAATGTAGATTTCAAAACAAGATGATAGGAATTTAACAATGGTTGTTAAATTACTTATTATTATCCTCAAAGTAATTGCTCAGGTTACCAGATACAGGCATGTACATTGATCAAGCAATATAATTTCCCTCTGAGCAGTTTCTTTTCCCTTTTACTGTATCTACTGTAACTTTTGGATCTTATTTACTCTCTTGTTTTGTTATACTAGTGAGACAATACGGTGTTAACAGAAGCAAGTCTGATTTATTTCAATTATGAGTATGGTTTCTAATTGCATTCATTTACCTACAAAAACCTTGGGTTCATTGTTCCTTGCTATTGAGTAGTATTTCATTAACATTAAATAAAAATACCATATATTTTTTATCCATTCCTCAGCTGATGGACATTTGAGTTGTTTCCAAGATCTGGCTATTACAAATTATGCAGCTATATACATGGGTGCACATATATCACTGTGGTATAATGTTCTCAATTCTTCTGGGAAAATATCTAGAAGAGGAATAGGTGGGTCAAACGGAACCTCTAATCAGTTTTTTAAGGAATCTCCACACTGACTTCCAGAGTGATTACACTGGTAGATACTTCCACTACAGTGCCGAAGGCTTTCCTTCTCCCCACAGCCCCACCAGCATTACTTAGTGATTAACTTCTTGAGGTCAGCCATTCTTTCTGGAGTGAGATGATACCTCAGTGCTGTTTTAATTTAAATCTCTCAAATGACCAATGTTGTTAAACATTTTTCATGTATTTACTCACAATTCATATTTATACATCTGAAAATTTTATATTCATCTTAGATGCCCTTTTTTGGAATAGGCTTTTTCATTTAGGGGGCTTAATTTTTTTCAGCTCTTTTTATGTTTTGGATAAAAGTCCCTTCTCTGAGGGACACTTGGCAAAAGTTTTCCCAATTTGTGGGTTTTCTTTTCACTCTGTTCATGATTTCGTCCAGTGCTCAAAAATTTTTAATAAGATGAGATCCTAGTTATTGATCCTTTGATGTATTTCCTGTGCAGTTAAGTTTTTGTTTATGAACTCTTTGCCTACCCCTGTGTCCCCAACATTTCTACTTACTTTGTCTTCCGGTAGGTTTAGTGTTTCTGTCTTAATATTTAGATATTTTACCCATTTTGACTTTAGTTCATGGTGATAGACATAGGTCTAGTTTAAGCCTTTGGTATGCAGAAAGCCAGTTTTTTCCAACACCACTTATTAAAAAAGCTATCTGTTTAAAGAAGCTGTCTTTCTTCCAGGGAGCATTTTTGGCCCCTTTATCAAAGAAAGGATGGCTGAGTGTGTTTGTAGTTGTGTTTGTATCTTCTGTCCTGTTCCATTGATCCTCAGATCTGTGTTTTGTTGTTGTTTTTGTAGTACTGTTTTGGAATTTTTTTTTTTTTTGCCACTTCTATGCTGATTTTATTTTAGTATAATTTTAAGTCTGGAACTACAATGCCTCCTGCCTTGTCTTTGTTATCCAGGATTTCCTTTGTTACTCTTTAAACTAGATATTTCTTATGTCAGTTATACTTTCTACTTAAGGGAAACTATCTGTCCTATATTTCTTCTAGAAAATGCAAAAAGCTCTAGGCAATAATTACTTAGTCAGTGTCCTATTGTCACTTCCAAGAATGACATACTGGAGACTTTCGTGAATAGATCTCATTATATTTTTTGGTTAATAGAAAAGGTTTTCTTTTTCAAATTTATAAGTTTTTCTTTTTAAATACACTAATACATCAATAGCTTTTGCCATGGAGAAGCAGGTTTACTTCGTAAGGATATCCAGCTTCACCAACAGCACATACTACTTAAAAAGATATGGACAAGTTTTCCACAAGAAGCACTCCATTAATAACGATCAGCCCTAATGTGCCAATAGATCAGTGGCCAGAAAACAGGAATGTACAAGTATGCGTAAAACAAAAAGTTTCTCACTAAAAAACTTTTTGAAGTATTTTTTAATTTTATAAAATATACTTTTCTAAATGTATATTTAGGATTTTCATAATGTATATTACAGTATAAATTTACATGTAACTTATAAATAAAATAGATATTGAATATACCTAAATACTTTGCAAATTATAGTATTGATTTACATTTTAATGGTTTTTTTTAAGTTCAATTTGGATATTTTGGCGACAAACTACCTATAAGGATTATTATATTTCAAAAGATATTTTAAAGTAAATTTAGCTATGTGACCCGAAGAACAAGACTGTGAGATTCAAATTATTCATTTTTCCTTACAGATGAGGAAATGGAAGCTTGAAGAGATTAAATGAATTAATCAAGATGACATATTGACATGACTCTGTCTCAAGAAAATTCAAGTCCTTGATTTCCAGAACAGTGATATTTTCTATCTGCTCACAATAGTGATTGGAAATTTTTTCCAAATTTCAATATTTGCTGTATACTTTCATTACAGCAAAGACCAAATGTGAAATTCTTTTATTTAAAAATATTGTCGAATATACTCTATAAGCCAAATTATTTTTATCTAAAACTAGTATAAATGATTATAACCAAAATAAAAAATACCAGAAATTACATTTCATTAAATTCAGGTTATACTTAGTCAACTTAAAAATATCCAAACTTCTTCATTTCCAAACAGTAAGCATCTTCCCCTCCACTACTACATGAGAAAATCATTGATGTGTCAACATCAATCATTAATAGGTTATTTTTGTCATAAAATTGAAACCATTCTATGTGTAATCGTGGTTGAAAAATGTTATTCATCATTATTCCTTTACTACCACTGCTTAATAACAGGTAAATCTGATTTTACATACAAATACAAATAATTTTTTGAAATATTTGTATTTCTTCTTTGTAAGTAACACAAAAGCTTTGCTCTGATAATTTCCTAAATAATCTCTGATAAATTCCTAAATTATTCTGGTAATAGAGGAATACTCCATTTGAGGTTATTCAATGCATTTGAATAAAGAGTTAAGTGGTAATTTTCTGATCTCGTTCTGTCTCATTTATCTATGATAACATTTACTGACACATAATAATCTTACCAGTGATATGAGAGAATTGCTGTTGCATTAAGAAAAAAAAGTCTGTGATAAGAATAAAAGTTGACATTGTGATGTGTGAAGAACTTTTAAAACACTGTCTTTAATATTCTACTATTAAAGTCACTAATATGTATTTTAATCTGTTTATAAGCAGATCAGCTAAGACTCCACACAAATGATGAACATCTTACCTGCTGAGTCACTGCTGCAGCTAAATTTCCACCTGCACTGTCTCCTGAAATACAGACCCTTTCAGGGTTTATGCCATAGCTTTCAAGAACATCTTTGCGTAAGAACCACTTTAGAGCATTATATACATCTTCAAATTGGGTTGGGAAATGATATTTAGGTACTAATCTGTAGCTTTGGAGAGAAAATATAGTTTTAATGTTGCATTATATAAATCAAAGTATATATACATGACAGAAATGAACATATTCTAAGTGCACAAATTATTGAATGCAAACTGAACATAGCAATATAACCTAGGTCATGAAATTCAATCCTGACGACACTCAGATGTCTTCTACTTATTGGCTACATGTCCTATAACTGATACAATAGAGGCATTTAATCTTGCTTGGTTTTGTCCTTAAAATATATGAACTCAAATAGAATGTAGAGCTATACTGGATTTTATTGTTCAGCACTGTATTTGTCTCTTTTTCATCAGTACTGGGGATCAAACTCACAACCACACACTTACAAGGTAGACGCTTATGCCACTGAGCTAAATCCCCAGGCCCTCAGCACTGTGTTTGAACCTCGTATACATCACTTTGTATATCATACTCCAATATGTGAGTTCACCACAATTCACTTGATCCAGTAACACGTTAATGGAGTGGCCACAGAAAGTCAAAGATCATGTGATTCCTCTTATAACTGATATCTAAAATGGTCAAGTCATGGATTCAAAGAGCAAAATGCTGATTTCCAAGGGCTGTGGAGAGGGAGAAGTGGAGGATTAATAATAAAAAGATTCAGTCAATATTATGAATAAACCATAGAGATTTATCATATAACATCATGTACATAGTTGACAAGAATTTACTGTGGATTTAAAAATTTGTTGAGAGAGAATCCTAGATTAATACTCAACACAACTAAATAAATAAATAAATATTTTCCAACTTAAAGATGCTATGCGTTTTTCTGTTGTTTGCAATCTTAGGCTAACTGCTCTCTGGATATTCTAATAGGTGATATTAGAATGATGAACACATGTATTTCCCTTGATATATACATGTGGTATTAATTGTTACAAAGTTATAATATGTGAACAGTTTTATTTAACATTGCCAAAGAATTTTGAAAAAAAAAATAGTGTACCTAGCTATTCTCAAACAATCAGTTTATGAAAGGGTCTGGCATGCCTGTTGTTTCCAGCATCTGGGTTTTTAAGACTTTTTCATTTTAGCTACAATATCAAGTATAGAGGAACTGCATAATATGGTTGATTTTTATTCTGATTTATGTTAATGTTTTATATATTTGAGAATTTTGAAATTCTCTTCTATTTCTTTTCAAGCTTTTTTCCCAGATACCATTTAATTTATAGATGTTTGTATATTGTGCAAAAGAAAAATACATATATTTTAGCATTAATCTATGCACATATTAAGTATAATACATTTAAATTTTTAAAAACAGCCACATTATTGAAATATAAATTATAATTCATAAAATATACTTAGACCATGCAGTTGATAGTGTGGTTTGTAATGTATTCAAAGAGTTGCGCACCCATATTCATAAGCAATTTTAGAACTTTTTTGTCCCAAATAAGGAAAGGAAAGAAAAAATAGAACCAGACCTATGCATATTGATATTCATGTTCTGTATTTTATCTCACCCCACTTCAATTCACAGGTAACCAAAATCGTTTGCCGGTTTAGATTCACCTAGACTGAGTATTTCAAAAACCAAAATAATGTATTTGATGGTCTTTTCTGACTTGCTTCTTTTACTTAGAATGTTTTCAAACTTCATGCATGTTACACTTCACACTTTATAAAGATGGTTTTCTCAACGACAGCAAGTTCAGTGACATTGTAAGACATATATCTTTCTTCATTTCATTATTCACTGAAAATCGGTGTGTATTTGAGATAGGGATTATTTATAATGTGTTTTATTGACAATCCACTGATTCCAAGAAACAGATTCTTAAAGACCATTACTGAAAATGAAGAGGTAATCTAATGCAAGTAATTATGTCTTTGGATAATGCAATTTAAGCATATGTGAATTTTTAAAATTATCTTTTCAACTAGCTTATAACATGCACATGCACTTTTTTTAAATGGTCCCCTCCATGTAAAATGAGAAACATTTATTTTTGGCATAATCAGGCCTCAGCTACTCAAGAAAGATGGGAGAATCTGGATAAGTCAGGCATCTAGATTTTAAAAAAAATCAAGATCTTACTTGCTTGATACAACGACAGCATCAAGTCTCTCTGCTGTCCATCTTGAGAGGAAATCATAATTACGTAAAGCTGAAATTAAAAGAATAAAACCAGGATATCAGTGACAATGGACAAATGAAAGAAAGATGTTACCTTGAAAATATTGTTGCACTTGTTTTGCATGCTGGAATTTTTGTGTGTTGTATGTTAAAATAACAGGGAGACAAATTTAACATTGTACTTAAATTTTAAGAAACTTCTCATCCATAACTCAGTGAAATTCAGGTTTCCCCTGAACCTGCTAGTTGCTCTTCACCCTTTACACTTCTGTGCATGCTTCATCATTGGCTTTTCTTAGTGAACTTCATTCTCTTGAAGACAATTCAAAGTCTCTCAAGGTAGATTAATTTGACTGCTTTATCAGACGGTTATTCACTGATCAAAAAGACCCGTCATTTACATAAACAATGTGCCACTGGTGAGTGAGCCAAGGATATAAAAGTGGAGTAATTTTAACATAGAAAGCCTACCAACAATTGTACAGGACAAGGGGACATTCATCCAAACTTAAGTGAAATAGAATTATGCTCCCTTAAAAATCTAGAATTCCTTCACTTAATACCTTACCAGTCCTACTCTTGTGAAAGTCTATCTTGCAGAGGTGTGTCTTTGTGCCTTTATTCTTTCTAAGGACAAAATTAGATGCTTCTCTTATCCATATCTATTTCTCCATCCATACTCATTTATTTGCCAGTGACACAAATCTTCTAAAATAGAAGATTTTAGAAGTAATAAAATATTACTTCCATGATGATTGTCCATTGGTAGGTCAACATTACCAGTCATCTCTTTTGTAATCTATTTCTGTTTATCATGTCTTTTATTTTTAATTCACTGTTGGAGATCACTACCTAGCAGCTCTGAGCATGATTTAAAATTAACTAATAGGCTTTCTGTGTTTATCTGTGCATCTGTTCTAGGCCTCAGCCCCTTGCCTGGTGATGGGAGCTGATTCATAATAAGTGAATGTCTATGAATCACTGGTCCTGGCTGAGGCCTGTAGAGGCCTGTGAGGGCAGAGATACCTCAAAGGGCAGGATAAGACCACAGCTGTGGACTCTTGGCTCCAACACTAATTAAGTAAATAGAGACTTCAGCTGAAGAAATTTCACTCCTACACTTACACTCCTATCATAACTGTCATCTTGGAGATAAAACAGATCTCCTAAATTAGCATAATTTACTACATGGAGAAGTCTTTGAAATGACTCCCAAGGTCCTGCTCATTTCCTGCACTTTCCTCACCTTTTATAGTTGGACCCAATAAAAGTGGGCTGGTTCAAAGAAGTCTTTGTCTTAGCCCTCAGAATCTCAAGCTCAGCTAAAGGGTTCTGACATTCCTGGAGTCCTAATATCATACCATTTGTCTCATTTTATTCAAACCTCCACTGTGCACTCATTTGGGAGATCAGGGATCTAGGTCAGGACCCAATAACTGGTACCCAAACAGGGACCTAAAATCCTTGGACTAGGAATTTTAGCCTGAGTGAGTAAGTCCACCTGGAATGGAAAGGTTTGGATATGAAGGAGGCCTTCACAGGATGAAAACTTCACCAGGGACACCTAGAGGGGGAAAAAAGAGTGAGTCTTCCTATTGTGAAAAACCATTTTATCTGGGAGTAAAACATGGGGAAAAAGGTTTCAGCTAAGGAGCAAAGGTATTTACAACTGCTGCAAAGCCTGCTTAAATGCTCAGGGCTCATGTGCCAAAGAAAGATTTAACAGAAATGTTAAAAGAGGTAACCATATATAAACCATAGTTTCCTCAAACAGGCACTATAAAAATTGATATTTGGGAAAGAGTTGGAAAAAATCCTAAAAAGGCACACAGGGCAGGACAAATCATTTCCCTGAGATGTTTTCAACTTGGAATCTGGTCTGTTCAGTTTTAAGTCAGTTAAAGAGCTCACAGTCAATTGCCTCTGATTCAGACATGGAGGAAAGAGAGCTCCCTGCTGAGGCACATGCCACCAAAACAAAATCTCTAGAGGATCACTCAGCAAGGACCAGAGCCCTTAAAAAATATTGCATATGTTCTATCCAAAAACTTACAGGTAGTGTGGGAAGAGGCAGCCACATAGGGACAAAATAATACCCTCCTTGCTTGCTTCCCAGTCGGAACTAAAAGAGATGCTAATGATCACGAGTATTTTGTTCATATGCCTTTGAAATACAGCTGCTAAAAAAAATCTTAAAGTGTGGTTGACAATGGAGTCTAAAGTCCATTTACTGTGGGACTCTTACAAAATGTTTTGGATACATATCAATTGATACCTTATGATATCAAACATCTGGCACAAACATGCCTATCTCCTGCTCAAGTCCTTCATTTTAATGTAAAGCTAAAAACTCTTCTTTTAGATCAGGCTCATAAAAACAGTATAGGTCCCAATTCACATCCAGCAATTAGTGAAGAAATGGTTTCTGGGACAGGGATATATGTACCACTTGAGGAACAGATTTAATGTTTTGAGGAGCTATTTCCACAATTGGCAGAATTAGTAAAAAAAAAAAAAAAAAAAAAAGTCATGGATATCTATTCCAGAGGATGGGGTTCCAGTGATGTCCTTTTTACATATTCTGCAAGGACCCAAGGAACCCTTTACTTGTGGAAAAATTACAAGAAGCTGCTCACAGATAGGTATCCAACACAGAAGCTGTGAACATTTTAACTTTAAAATTAGCATATGAAAATGCTGATCTGGATTGTATACAGGCTTTAAATCCTGTAAATCAATGAAGGATTTAACAACGTATATTTGAGCATGTCAGGACAATGGAACTGTGTCCTATAAGGCAACTATGATGGCTCAGATTATGGCTGGCCTTGCAAATGCAAAACGGAGTAATGTGAAAAGTTTTAATTGTAGAAAAATGGGACATACTAAAAAAATTGCAGAGTTCTTGTTAGATCTGATAGAACAGATGCTGCAGCTGCAGCATGTCAAGAGAAAAGTGCCTGTGGCAAGGAGGACTCAGGTTCCATGCCTGGATTCTGTCCGAGATGCCAAAAAGGGAGGCATCGAGCCAAATATTGTCATTCTAAATTCCATAAGGGTGGTACAATTCTGACAAAAAATGAGATGAGGGCCTTTCCTCAGGCCAGCAAAACAATTGAGGAGGCAATGGCTGGTGAGGCAAAATATCAGTCATCTTTACCCAGTGCAAACTCACCATCAAATTCAAGAACAACATGAGAGGTGGCTCCCCAGAGAGATGCCAACTCACTCACCAAGGGAACAACTCAAAGTGCAGGATCTTCCTGCAGCTTGCAGAGTCACTTTCATTGGAAGTGACAAGCCCACCCCAATTCCCACAGGAATTTGGGGTCATCCACCTGAAGGAAGAGTTGGTTTTGTATTGGGAAAGGCTGATGTAAATTTAAAAGGAACAACTATTGTGCCTAGTGTGATTGATGGTGATTGTTGAGATACAAGTTCTTACATGTGCTATGGAACTCTGAGTTTTTGAGCAGGGAGACTACATGACACAGTTGATTTTGTTATCTGTAGAGAAACCTTCTTCTGTTAAACAGACATCTCAGGAGGCAGCAAAATTCTCAGAGCAGGACTACAAAAAGAGAAGTTTATTTTACACAGGAAGTGAATAAAAACAGGCCTATGTGTTTTATAAGGATTAATGCAAACTACTTTGAAGGTCTAATAAACACTGGTGTGCATCAGAACAATGGCCTGCCACGTGGCTGACACAAAGGGCTCCTATGTCCCTTGTTCGACTGGGAACCACTCATCATGTGTTACAAAAGGTCTCATCTTTGCCTTATGAGGGACCAGACCAACAAAAAGGTTTCCTTTTACCTTAATGGCACCTATTCCACTTAACTTGTGGGGAAGAAATTTGTTACAGAAGTGGAAATTAATACTGACTAGTCGTTCTGATTTTAAAACAAAACAAACAAGTTCCAATTTGGAAACTGATCAAATGGGTTCAGATCCTAAAATTTAAAAAATCATGATTAAAATGGGATATCAGAAAGACAAAGAACTAAGAAAAAAATCTAAAAGGAAACAAAGAGCCTGTTAAGATTACTCCTAAAAACAAGGTATTGGATATCAGCAGTTTTTTTTTTTTTTTTTGAAAAGGCCGTTGATGCTTCTGCCACCAAACAGCTCTGCCTTTACAATGGAGAACTTAAGGAGCCTGTTTGGATCGATCAATTGCCCCTTAAAAAGGAGAAGCTAACTCAATTACACAAATTAATTAAAGAATGATTTCAACTAAGACATTTAGAAAGCTCAGTTAGCCATTAGAATACTCCTGTCTTTGTTATTCCAAGCAAATCAAGCAAATGGTGGTTGTTACAAGACTTAAGAGCTGTAAATGCTTGCTTTTTTATTTTTAATTTTTTAATTTTTATTTTTTAAAATTTAATTTAAAGAAAGAAAAAAACAGTAAAAGGGTACAAGTAATACGGGGTTTCAAAAAAATAAACAGTAGGAAATCACTAGTTAATAGATTACATATTGTCACCTTAGAAATAGTTGTTCAAGTTACAAAATTAAAGCAAACAAAGTGGACATTCAAACAGTGAGAACACAAACAGTTGTGTTCAATGATCTAACAAAAACTTAGTAATATGGTCATCTGTCTTATACACTTAAAACACACTTGCAGGCGTATCCTTTAGAGCACTATCTTTTCCTCTTTTTCAATAACAATTAGACATTTTGTATTTTATTACTCCCACAGTTCTTACTACTTTTTTGGAAAAGAATAAAACCAAATGTGACAAAACAAAGCAGAGTCATTCAAAACAAAGGATGGACATAGTACACGATGTAAAAACAGAATACAAGGTAATCAACAGTGTTTACCATAATGCCTCTTGCTACCTTAAAAAGAACTGCCTATATCATCAAGTATAATATAATTGAACAAAACAGTACAGAACAAAACCAATAAAACCTAAACATTGGAGACATTACAGGACTTTGAGAGAAGATAATAGTCAAACCAGAATGGGCATCATAGTGAATCTTATTGCCTTCAAAGTAGTTGCCTGTACTCTC